TTTTTTTTTTTTTTTTTTTTTTTTTTTTTTTTGATAAAAACAGATACATTTAAACCACAGAGAATTAATGAGAAAATAGTATGGACTACCTTTTTAGCAATTGAAATTTAATTTGAAAAATAAATATTTTGCTACAGTTTTATTTAAATATATGATTGGTTGTAACAAATCTGATTGCAGTTTTGGCTGTAAGTCAAGTGAACGGTGATGTGGATTCTACGGGAACTGATTTCTTGACAATATTTCCATGGAACAACAACGATGTAGATCATTTTCCAGTTGTAGCAGCAATAGATTTCATCAATTCCGATGAAACAACAACTGCAACAGTGGACATAAGCTACAGCGTATATGCAATTTCCGGTGATGATATTACCACAACAATAAAAACTAAACGTATAACTGTAGGAAAAAAATCGAAAGAAACAGTAAGTCTACGCTTGTTTTTTGGTCTGCTTTGCAAAGCAGCATTTGAAATAATTTTTTTATTACTATCAGGAGATCACAGGTGTTGGTTGTAGTTTTTAAGATGACAGTAAAATCGTTCTTTCTTTTGGCCATCTAGTATTGACTGACAACAGGCAGTTGATTGCAAATCTTAAATAAAGTGGATATTAAATTTGAGATTTGCAGTTAAAAATAGATCAACCAAGCAGAAGATAGTGAATAATCAGGTAGAAATTGACCTGTATTCCAGTTCGCATTTGGCAGCGATTCTGTATACCAGTACCTGGCTCAAGGTCTTAACCTGGACTACCCAAGCACAAAAATTTTTGTCCATTCTAGCAGTCCCATTTCTGTTTTCGCTCATACCTATACAGCTGAAGGAATTGGAGATACTTTTGCAGGTAAATTCATACTGTTGAATTTCCTATTGATACGGACCTGCTAAACCTGCTGTAAGCAGTTTAAGACTTTTCACTTTATAAGTTTTTAACTTTCAAAATTTCAAACAAGTTTTTGGTAATGATAATAAACAGTTATAATGCAGTCTTTTTAAACAGTTACAAAGAAAAATGGTTTATTATTTTCAAAAAAATTTTTGAAAAGTATTGTATTTATAAATTCTTAATTTTTTTTTATAGTTTTACCCACTGCAATGGCTTCAAAAGAGTACTCATTTTCACTTCCTAAACATCAAAGTGCTAAAGCTCTTGGAATGATCTATCTGCTTCCAACTGTAGCAGATGCAAGGATTTCATTAACGCTTATAACCGCAACAAAGACCAGAGATTATTCTGTTACGGTACCGGTAAGTCTCGTTTATATCACAGTTGATTTGGTCTACTACAAAGTTAAGAAATTTTTTCAAACTTCGGTTTATACAAAAATAGCTCATTTTTACTTTTGTTAACTATGTCGGTTTGTGTAGGCTGCATTTTGTCAGTTACAGTTCCACCTTTCTGCCACATTGCTTTTTGGAAGAATGTTCTGTTATAAATTATTGCTGCAAAAATTATCAATCTTCTTTTCTTTACTTAGAAATTATGAAAAACTTATCAGCAGCTAAAGTAATTAGCTTTCTTGCGCTACTCACCTTCTCAACATTAAAAATGATGCATTTTTGGGCAATTTCTTTTCACTTTTTTTGAGGAATAAAAGCAACACACCACTAAGCAAACAGCGATAAATTTAGGCCGGTTTGACAGACAACGTAGCGATGTTTGGTACTCCACCAAAGGACTTTTCGCTGTATGCAACCAGTGATCAACCATTCCTAATTGTTGCTGCAATTAGGATGTTACCAGCGTCAAATGCCAAATACGAGTTTGGTTGCTTTATGCCAATTCCACTGACAAGCAAAAGTAAATGATAGAAAGACCGTTATCAATATTATGGATTTAAAATGTTTAAAAGAAAAACTTTTTTTAAAGTTTTTTAAAATAACATCTGCATGCTGAAGCAATAACAGGTAGACTGGAGCAAGCAACGAATTCAGTTCTTGCTGAAAGTATTCTACCAAATAATATCATATGCCCTAATTTTTTTTAACATTTTATACAAGCAATTGTTTTTAAAACACACTAATCACTCTCTAAGATTTGAAACTCTGAAATTAATTCTTGAAATGAATCATTTTTTTGTTTGATTGTAAAAAAAATTCTGAATAATTCTTGGAATGAATCATTTTTTTGTTTGATTGTAAAAAAAATTTTGAAGAAAGTTTTTTATTTTTTTATTTTTTTTTTTATATTTTCATAAAACAGCAAAACTTTCCGTTTCACTGCAGACACAGCAGCTAGAAGACAGAAATATGTAAAATTGTTTAGATTGTGCCGAGGAATCAGTGAACGATTTTCACATAACAGATCTTTCGTCTGCTTCATACTTCACAGTAACATCGCCTGGTTCTGGCTGTTCCAGATTCCAAGTAGAACTTAGCTCAGAAAAAAGAAACAGTAATTTAACTATTGAACCAGGCAAAAGTCAGGAGCCTTTCTACTTTGCAAAAGGATTACATGGCGATGTGGCAGCTTTTCGTTCTCGGTAATTTTTAAGCAAAAAAAAGCCAGCATAATTGTGCAAGAAAAAGAAAGAGAAATTTATATAACAGTTACCACTGCGTATTAATAACGTTGATAACTGTTACAGATGAGACGACTATTTTCAGAAACGCATTGGTAGAGATGGTTCGTTACGGCGGCTTTAGCGTCTCTGGAAGTGGTGCTTTTCTGGACAACTTACCATCAGTGAATCAATTTGTCACTGGAGTAACACCGTATTTGTCATTTAGAATAGATGATTCACTTACGGTAAGCCTTCGATGCTATCGCAGTTAGTAATCAATTTTTTTTTTTTTAGCTCTTAAAAGTGCAGAATTAACAGTTACACATTTAAAATAACTAGTGCTTAAAAATCGACAGTATTATAAACGGTATTTGAACTTTTTGTTGTTGCTGTAAATGTTGTGTAAAATTTAAAAATGGCAGATATTTGAACAATTTTTTCAGGCAGTAATGGTTTTTTTTTTTTAGATTTTCGGCGATCAGGCAACTTCAAATACAGCCAAAAACGACGGTACTGCGGTAACCGGCTGGAAACAAATAAAATTCTTTGACAGATCTTTTTACTACACTACTTTGGTGGTCTCAAGCGGTGTTCACTTCTTCAGTTCTTCGGGCCAATACATCCTTCATGTCAGCGGCTTATCCAGCAATTATTCTCAAGGATTTACGCCGAGATTTGTATGTAAGTATAACAGCACACTTTGCTGCCATTGTATTTAAACGACGGAATGATTGGTGGTTCAACTTGGGACATGAAAGAGTTAATTATTAGCTAAACAACTAACATATATTAATAGTAACTTCAGCATTTCTTTCTTCTTTTGTTTTGTTCTTTTTATTGTTAGAAGTAAGTAGAAACGAAGTTTTGACACCAGTCAAACAAACAGCAAAAATTACAAATCGAAAAAATAAATAAATAAATAAATAAAAGTGACAGGCCTATAGGTGTTAATAAAGACTAATAATGATTACATAACAGTAGAAATAATTTACCTGAGTTGTTATATTATCAAGTTATATCAGTTTACTTATCATATAAAGAAAATTTCGCCACTTTTTTTGGAACTATCTAATGCATTTTAAACTGTACTATGTTTTAACCAGTGAATATTAGAAAATGTGACCAGGATGTTCAGATATGCCGTGTAACAAATTTTTCAAAAAAAAGATTCCAAAAACAGAATTTTATAGCTGTTTTATAAAGGTTTTTGGAATTATTAGACTAGCTGATACAGTGATAATTATTTCAGGGAAAGGTACGGCTGCTCCGACACCAATCCCACCTTCACCAAGCGGACAAACGGCGACACCGACGCGGGTAACACCAACCGGTCAATCGGTGACGCCAACCGGGGTGACACCAACCGGTCAATCGGTGACACCAACCGGTCAATCGGTGAGACCGTCAGGTTCACCTACAACAGTTGTAACCCCACCAAAAAGCGGCAGTAATGCTGCAGAAGCTTTTGTTGGTCTAATTGCTATGGCACTCTATTTTGCTTTAATAATTTAACATCGACTTGGTGTTGCAAAGAAGAGCTAATCAAATTTGACAACGAATCAATGTTGAAATTTTTTTCGGCTGATCAGATATATAATGGCCAAATAAATGATTGTTGCGAAAGCTACGTTTTAACAGGAAAAATTTTTTTTATAGTATATTTCATTAATTTTTTGAACGAGAAATCGATGTTGAAGTTTCCAGTTAAAAATCTGTATAAAAAATGTCACTAAAAAAGCGAATAAAGCAGATGCTAGAAAACTGGAAATTTAAATCAAAAGTGTCCTCATATATTGTTTTCGTAGTCAGCTAAAATCCCATCTATTCAAAAAACTTATCACTGCTTTAGACACACAGCTTTTTCAGGAATAATGAGTTTACAATCTGAAAATATTGTCAGAACAGCGCCAAAAGAATCTATTTTCATCGCAAGTTTGTGAAATTTGAAAAGTTCAAAATCAGATTTTACAAGATAATTTCTAAGAAAATAATAGTGATTAATTGAAGTATCGCAAGATAGCTTTTAGCGGAACAGCTTGTCAACAACAATTTGGAGATTTTTCGTATAATTCTCATCATTTGTAAGCTTTGAGTGGTCAAATAAAGTTTTAAAAATTTTCCGACTATAACTTGTTCCAAGAGAAACTTGAAATTTGCAGAAAGTTACAGTTACTTTGAATGAAACAATTAGGTGCTATTTAACAAACAAATTTTTCATCAACAGATTATTTTAGTTATTGTACAGAAAAAAAAAAGTATTGTTTATAAAACAAAAATGTCTTTATAAAAAATCAAGTTTAAAGAAACAGTATTGGTTAATATTATAAAAATACAAAATTTTGAATCTACATTTACATAAGTATTTTATATCCAACAACTTTTAAACGGGCCTAACCTCAACACGTATTGTGCACTAATTACTATTTCCTGAAACCTTCAAAACAGCAGTTACAATTGTTCGACGCGTCCAACTTATTTTTTTTAATACCAATGTAACGCAATAATCAAATGTTTTGGTCTTTATACAACGACAGATGTATCAATCCTTTAAAGCTAAAAACTGAAGATTACAACGAACTTTATGCAATATAAAAGCTACTTTTTATAGCAATATCTAGTCTAAACAAAAGGCTTAAGTGTATTTCTTTTTTTTACGAGTCAGGCACAATTTGACAATGTCAGTCAACACCGTCCTTCCGACCAGTGGCCATTCTGATCGTTTTTTGTGTTCCAAACTTGTCGCTACTAATTCCTTAACTTTTAAGCAAATTTTTTTAACCGATATATTCACCGACTGAATCGGTGAATCATCTTAACAATTACTGTCTTTCTTTTTTGGACCTTCTTTGAAGGCGTTGCCAGAAGAATCGAACCATATGAGTCAGCCATCATCAGTGTGGCCACCGCTGTCGTGTAAAACGATGCAGTGCCAATTATATTTGTGCAGTTTCGACGGCAAGCGAGCGCCTTTTGGAACAGTGCTCAAAGACAACGAAATTTCATATTTCAACGGTTTCACTGACCGATGGAGTGGGCGTTTATCGTCGACACTTTCATCTTCATCGTCGTAGAACGTTGCCAATTCATCAGCAAACTGTTAACTTAAAGTTCTGGCAAGTTATACTTTTGCTTTTTGTACTTCCAAATTGCTTAACAGTTCTAATTCTTATGTAAGCTGTTAGAGAACTTCTTCGTCGTTCAGCTGAATGATTTTCGTCAATAAATTTACTGATTCTGATTAGTATGTCGCAGCCAATGTCGTCGTCGCATGTCAGCAGCTGTTGCATTCTTAAGCTGGTATGCGGTGAAACTGAAGTCACGGTGGAGCAGGTAGTTGATTGTGATTTTCTTTCGTTATCATCTTAGCTGTCCAAAAAAAGGCGCTCATTTCAGCTTCATAGAACCTGCAGGCGGAAATGAAGGATTTACTGAGATTCAGTCCTAGTTTTTTGCTTGGTTTTTTGTGTTTTTTTGGCGGATTGATAACTTTAAAAAACATAAGGTATATTATTAGAAATATTAGAAATCGGCTTTAAGCTGTATGAGATTCGTCTGAGAGCAAATACTTCTTATGTAACTCGGAGTGTACAAATTCTAAAGTTAATGTTCTCTCAACGTTAAATGATTCAGTTAGATTCTACTGGCATAACAGAACCAGAGACGAGAAGGTGAGATGTAATTAATGATTGATTTCAACAATTTCAGGCTGATATTACAACCTGTGCTGCCGACATAGTTGCGGTTCCTGTTGATCGTCAATTTAGCTTTTCGCATGGGATTTCCCGTTGTTTAGCGGCTGCAGCCGGTTCGGGTTTTAAGGTTAATTTTACAGTTCAGATTTTTTGTTTACCTGTTTGCTTGCTTATTTGCTAAGCATTTAAATTGTTCTACAGATCGAAGTTCGTGCTACAGTTGGTAGTCGTAAGAAGATTTCTCACAAACCAGGTGAAGTGATTATATTCGGAGGGCATGATTTGCCTTTCGGTAAGATTATTGCCGTAGTATCCTCGCATAGATTTGAGGATATCAAAATGCTATATGAAAATGTGCTGACGAGTGCCGAACAAGCGAAGGCGTCTTCTTTGTGTTTTTCTGGGATTGGGACAGGTCTTGCTTTCCATCTTAGTTTTTACGGATATACGTATAATTTTACAATGGATAATTGGTCAACTTTTTTTAGCAGCAACGAATTATTTCAGGGTATTTGGGAGTTCCGAGTGATGTAGCCGCTGTTTGCGCTCGAATGGCTTTATCTAATTATTTGTCTGCAGATAGATCCAAGTTTACCTCACTCAAGGTATTTTGCTCAGTAATGTAATAGTGTCGAAGTCAAAGTGCGTAATTATAATAAATATCAAGTTAGAGAAGAGTAACACATATTGGTTTTTTTGAAAGCAGGTTTTAGCACATACGCATTGTGGATTTGGATACCAAGATAGTTAGAAGTTTTGCTAAAGAACTGAAGAGTTTGTCAAACACGTGTCTCAAGAAGGACGATTCTGCCTTGCCAGGTGATGAAGGTGAAGAACTTAGTTTGGTGTTCAAAGGTATCTCTGGTTTCTATCTCCCGGCAATAACTTTCCTATTTATATAGCTGTATTTTAGATTCTGCACAAGGTTCTGATAACGCACAGGTGGATCAAATATTCTTTTCATGCTTTCGACGTGTTGGTAAAGAGCTAGAAGTTTTTAAACCTTTCCTTCTTTAATTTTGTTCCAGCACGATTAACAGTGTTTTTGAATTGTGTTTGAGAGTCTTAATGAAAACACCATCTATTCTTATTTATAGATGGGTTGTCAGACGAGGTATGCCCTGTTTGCTTGGATAGTTTGTCTCACGGATCAGACAATAATGTAATTATTGAGCTTTCAAAATGTAATCACAAGTTTCATGAAGAATGTATTAAGGTTAGTGTGTCCTATTGTAACCCTCTAATTTTTAAAATCTTTTTTTACTAGTTTCTCTGTTGTAACTTGCTGATGACTAATTAGGCGCCTTTCAAAAGTAGAAGTTTCATGTCACTTCCCATTGTTCTGAAAATTTATATAAGACAACATTTCTTGTATTTTTTTGCGGTGACAGCCTTGTGCTTCAGCAGTCTTTTACTTGTGTGCAAGCCCAGTGTCCTGTTTGTAAGAAATGGTACGGGGTTCCTCGGGGCAATCAGCCAATTGGTGGTAAAATGAAGGTCAGAATGCAAATAGGAGAAGTCCCGGGCTATCCGGATGCTAAGGGTTATTTTGAAATATATTATTCGATCCCAGGAGGTGTTCAGACAGTTGGTTTAATTCTAAATTTTTGTAGTTAATTTTTGTAGGGACATTCCGTGAATACCTTTGTACTGTTTAATTGTTATCAGTGTTCAGAAGTTTCTTTCTTAACAAAAATAATACGGTCTAGATTTTTTCTGCTTTCAGGCGGATCATCCTCGTCCTGGCGTGCCATTTTCTGGTACACAGCGGTGGGCATACTTGCCCAACAATGCTGAAGGAGCTCAAGTAAGACCTTAAAGTGAGACTTAGCCACTGGTTATTGTCAGTTATTGCTTGAACTTGTCGCTCATTTGTAGGTTCTTCGTTTACTGCGTTTAGCATTTCGGTACCGTTTAATTTTTACTGTTGGAGACTCGGTAACTTCAGGGGCCAGGAACGTTGTAGTATGGAATAACATACATCATAAAACATCTATTTATGGAGGGCCGTAAGTTTTGTGTAAACTGCTAGTATATAGTTTTTCGGATCATAATTACTGAATTGGGTCTTTCAAAATTTTTTCAAATATTCAGACATATAGAGAAGGTTTTAGTTACGGGTATCCTGATCCAGAGTATTTGGATAGAGTGAAGGAGGAACTGGCTGCTGTAGGTATTACCGAAGAATTATTTGAAGGCAGTCACTTGTGAAATTCCAAACTTTTGGATCTTCTAAATTTAATGTTATTCTTTACGCGCTCTTTGGAGGGGCTTGTTGAGCAGACGTTTGAAACTGCGTTTTGAATTAAGCTTTGTAGATACTGTACTTTATGAATTCTTGTCAATTTTTACGAATTGTATTTTAGCCTACCAACTTCACATCATTATTACTAACAGCGAATTTTCAGTTGTGTCAAGTCTGTTGGTTCTTGATCTTCATAAAAGTGGTTCCAATTACGCTTCTTGAATGGCATAAGTGTTTTTCTTGTATAAAATCACTTTAAATTGAGTGAATTTGAAATACAGGAAAAATGTTATAGTGGGAGTGATGTGCAGATTTTTTATAGGTCAGAAGTAATATTGTAAGGTAAATATTATCATGTTTAAACACATAAACTATTTATAATAAAAAAAATAGGGAACAAGTATTTGTTCACCGGATACCAGCATTATTTGTTATTACTTGCCTGCTTAGCTATGAGTAATTTTTTGATAGAATACTACTTTATTGAGTTTGTGATTTTTTGAATTTATTCTTTTTCTTCTTGTTATTGAAGTGTTTCTTTATGCTCTGTACATCATATTAAATTATGAAAACGGTCAGTATGGTTGGTTCGGGGCTATCATTTTGGTAAAAAATATTTACTGCCACTGTGTGCAGACTTTCTATAGTTGATAAAGAAATGGTGCTGTCGTATATTTGTAAAGGGGGCCTTTAAGTGCACACTTTAAGAAGTATTAAATTTATGAAACGGCAACAAGCGCGATGGCTTATAAATCAAAAATTTTTTACTTATTTCATGTAATTACTATAAACTGTATTATAAAAGTTGTAAAAGTACTTTTAGTTATAATTTATTTTTTTTTTCTACCCATTGTCTAGTAAACCATAAAATAAAGGTTTTTGAAAAAAAACTTCAATTTTAATCAAGATTTTCTACTAGCTGATCCGAATCTGAGGTTTTATTGTTCTACTTCCGCTATGTAGTGTCTCCTTGTATGACCTAAAAAGTTTTGTTTACTGTATTATTGGCTTATAATAAAATACTTGTTTGCTGACTCTGGTAATAATATTCGAGTTTTATGCGTGTGTCAGGCTTAACTTGCTTTAGTAAGGAAGTATTTCTGTTAAAATTTACCATTGCGACACGTTTCAATGGGCTAGAAGAGCTTGTAAATATCTTCATTGTAAACATATCATTAAAAAACGTGAGAAGAGAAAAGTCGTGTGCAGAAAAGCGGCAGTTCTTGTTCTTCATCGATTCATTCGTACGCGAGTAACATAGGCAACTTTGTTCGAATAAGCAATTCAGGTTTGGTAATGGGTCTGACTCTTCCTTGTCTGGCGCTACTTTCCTCCATCTAGATAAAAGTTCTCAACTGGATAAGTCAGTGGTTCTATTCTGCAAAGAAGTCAAAGTTAGAGTCCTCAGAAGGCTACTGGGCGTGGCAGAGTTCTATTATTTTTGACTCAAGTGGTGAGTTTTGTTAGGTTACGGAGAACTAACTGGAAATACCAACCGTGAGAACTTTGTTCAAATCACAGTCAGTATCTGGTGGATTCGGTTCTCAAAACCGTTGGAAGAAAGTTCAAGTGGGATTTCGCTGGATGTAATGACCTGAAGAGGAAAGACAGAAGGGCTTCCATTGAATAAAGTTGATAATGTGACTAAAGAGTTACAAAGTGCTTAACAGACAGGCGCTTCTTAGAAAAACGTAGGTGTAAAAAAAACTTCACCCACCGTGAAACTTCACCCATCGTGCTAGTCTGGGCTGCATTTAACCTTTTGTCTAAACAAAGATGAGAGTTCCTTTTCTTGAAAGGGGCAGAAACGAATGGTAAATCTAAGAACAACGCATAACTGCGGTGTCCAATATAAAGAGTCATTCGTTTTACATTCTCCAAAATTCCTGAATAATTTAGGTAACGTTAATTAGTAACCAGTGGTTACGATAGGGTAACGTAGCTCGTTTTGTTCGTAAATAAATGAATGAGGCTTAAGGAGTAACTCACTAATTTTTAACACTTGTTAATATGCCAAATATACACAGTGTGTGTAGATTTCAAAGCACAACTGATAAAGCTAAAAGTGACAAAACTTTACAGCATTCAGAACGACAAAGTATTGTTTATCCATTCCGGCAGTTTCACTGCTGAGCACGTGAATCGCAGCGTATTATGAAGCGACCCAGTCCGTGACTTACTTACCAGATTCTAGACAAGAATAAGGAACGTTCGAGACAGCAGTTGGAAAATAGGTCGCTTTTTAGTGCTCCTTAAACTTAGAAATATTATTGTCTGTATAGCATCGATGAAAAATTCATTATTTTCAAATATATCTGTAAGTGTTGTGATTAGATTACAAAATTTAATGGTTTGCAGAACTGTAAAATTTCTAAAAAGTTTTCACCTTCATATTTTATTTTTTCATAATGTTCTTTCTAGATCAACTGTATATTGAAAATATATTAAAAGCTTTACAAATAGCAAATAAAATTAGAACTTTAAATAGGTTCGTTGAGCAAATGGGCACTTTGTTAAGTACATGAAGAGATTGGTCATTACGTGAGAAGTGTTATACAAACACATAGAAAGTTTAGAGTTGGCATTTCTGTGGCATCAGTAAATATGGGGAGAAGAGTGTAATTCATTTATTTAATCATAACTGTTTCTTAGACTTTGTTTTCTAAAGCATTGTTTTAAAAATATGTGAATTTTAAAAGTATAATTTAATGTTTAAAACTTTCTTCACTAAAATTCTTTGGCAGTTGTAATAATGGATGTGATCAAAATAATAAAAGCTGTTTGCCAATTTCCTTGTCGGTGTAACATTTAGGTATGCGATGTTGTTGTTTAAACAATAAATAAAACTTAACAATTGCCAAGATAAGAATGCTGATATTTTTTAACGTTAAATTGGTCATTTTTGGTAAACTAAAAATTAGAATGCAAAAACCTGTCTACACTTTTTCAAAGACCTTAGTTTTATCGTCTTATGTTTAATGTCAAAAAGCTTTTTCTTTCTGAAGTAAATTTTAAAAGCAACGTTTAACAAATTATTGCCTAACAATAGATTTTTATAGGTTTTTTTTCTATCAAAAAAAAAAA